ACCCGCACTCGCATCGGGTAATGGTGCGGTTGATGGTGACGGTGGTGGTGGTGATGGCGTTAATGAAGGCGATGATGACAATGACAGCGTTGCTGAAGATGATGAAGATGACGACGGGGAGGAACAGGAGCCGGCGAAAGCGAACGGAGACGGATCCAAGACAAAGAAACCGAAGAACAATACCAAGACGAAGAAGCACCCCAAGCAAAGCAAGAAGACCGCCGCAGCTGCAGCTGCAGGCTCACAGCCAGCATCTGCTTCCACTAGTGCTGCCCATCAACATCAGGCTCACCCCCAGCACACCCAAGGCAGCACGCCCGCGCTCAAGGCGTTTCCATCGCCGCTGACATTCAGCAGGATAGTGCTCCGTTCTCACTTTGCCGCGCACGTGCACCGCGCACGCTTCCTCGGCCGTCACCACCAGTATGCAACCGTGGTGGGCGTGGTGCTGCACGTTGGCCGTGTGGAGCGGCGACGCACGGCGCGTGGCTCGTTCCGCCTCCTGCGCTGGGTTCTTCTTCGCGACCACTCTGCCCCTGCACGCGACATTGTTGTGCAGATGGGATACACATCGCAGCCGGGAGTGTTTGACGCCATTGCTCCAGGCGCCCTCCTCGGCATCACATACTGCAAGGTCGGTCCACGGTGCTGATGCTGGCGAGCGCGCGTGTGCGTGTGCGTGTGGGTGTGTGGGTGTGGGTGTGGGTGTGGGTGTGGTGCACGTGTGTGTGTTTGTGTTTGTGTCCCTTTGCTCTTGAGCACGTACCTGTTACCCACGACCCCCTTACCGCCACCTCCACCACCACGACCAATACCGCCACCATCACCACGACAGCTTCGACAGCAGCTGATTGCCAGTCGCGGTCCCCCCGCTCTGCACGCCGTCACTACCGCCGGCTCCACATATGTCATGCTCCAGGACAACAACCACCCGCTCACACAGACCCCAGAGGTGTGTGTGTGTGTGTGTGTGTGTGTGTGTGTGTGTGTGTGTGTGTGTGTGTGTGTGTGTGTGTGTGTGGAAACATGGGTGCAAATGCAAGTGTAAGGGTTCTGGTCTTTGTTCGTTTTTGTTTTGTCGGTGCGAACGCATTGCAGACCCGCATGCTGTGGCCTCACATGTTTCACTTGTGCAGGTGGCGAGTCTCGTTCACTGGACACCGGATCCTCCACTCGGTATGCGGTGTCAAAGGCTTGTTTTTGTTTATCTTGCATGCGAGTGCCACCATCACGCCCATGATCGCATCCGTACATCCACCTCGTCAACTTGTCTCTCCCATCGATTCTGTGCTCACTGCCACGGCTGTGCTTATCATCTCCCTCACGTCTTCTGTGCCACCACCACCACCACCACAACAACAACAACAACAACAACAACAACAACAACAACAACAACAACAACAACAACAACAACAACAACAACCGCTGCCGTGCAGAGTTTGGGCGGATTGGCGGGTTCTACACGTGGCCGCAGCCGCCGCGTGTGAGCGCACACATCTCAGATCTGCCCACACGCGACAAAATACACACAGCAGAAGAAATCAAGCAGGTGCGTATGTATGTGTGCGTGAATGCGTGTTCTTGCGTGCCAAACTGTGTGCAGTCGTGTGCTGGCGTGTGCTGCCAACCCCACTGACGCGTAAATTGTGACGCATTTTTTTTTTCAGATTGTGCAAGGGCTGCACTTGAACGAGCGACGGCATGTCTACATTCAAGGTGCGCATTGTGTGTGTGTGTGTGTGTGTGTGTGTATGAACGTTTTGTGCTGCTGCTCTCCTCTGCGGCCATGGACATTATGCACACGCGAAAACAGCAACAACAACACCAAGCACGCAAGTTCAAAACACGCAAGTACACATGCATCCTCATACACACCCTCACGCACGCACACACACACACACACATGACTGCACGCGCCACTCCCTGGCAGGGCACGTGACGCGGCTAGCGCTCATCTCCTCGGAGACGGAGGAGGTAGCGACGGCGGTTGCGCCCGCGCTGGCATCGCGCGATGCTGTGGAGGGCGAGAGCAGGCTGCAGCACGCGCGCACAGGCATGAAGCAGCGCAAGGGCTCTGGTGCTCGCATCTTCGACGCCTTCACCGTGCGTACAGTCTTCAGCCTGCAATGCTGTATGTGTGTGTGTGTGTGCGTGTCTCACCTTGGGATTGTCACCTACCACGCCATGCCCTGTCCGATTGCTTTTCGTCACCCTCATCACCGTTCATTCATCTCCCACATCAACACGTCAATTACAACAGTGGCGGTACTTCAAGTGCGGCATGGCCATTGCCAGCACAAAGAATCCAACGAACCCTCTCGACGCACACATCTACTCAGACTCCAGCGAGTTCCTGGTGGGTGCTGCATGGCTGTGTGTGTGTGTCTGTGTGTGTGTGTGTGTGTGTGTGTGTGTGTGTGTGTGTGTGTGTGTGTGGTGATGGTGGTGTGTGGTGATGGTGGTGTGTGGTGGTTCTTGTGTGCTCTGTTCAGGACACTTGACTGATGGCTGTGCTTCACTGCATTTTATCCATGTGCGTTTGACACGGTGTGTGCAGCCAAACGACGTGACGTTGGCGCAGTCCCCGCCTCAAATCTGGCTGCTCACCATCCGCTCCCTCAACAGCACGGTGCGGCACCAGTCAGCGCCAACCCCTGGCACACCACGCTGTCACATTTGGAATGTTCTTGTACCAGTGCTTGCACGCATGCATGCTCCCCTTTTGTATTGCCATTGCACAAAATAAGTGGTTGACACCCGTTCACAGACGTACACAACCCGTGCAGATGGCTTGCACTCACTCGCACAAGTCGCTTACACACACGCACACACACACACACACGCACACACACACACATGCACACGCACACACGCACACACACACACACGCCGCCACTGCTGCAGCTGACGCTGGATGCGCTGCTGGTGCCGGACGGAGCGCCGCATCCAACGCCATCACGCATCAAACTCTGCCGCGACATGCTGGTCAACGCAATCCCGCCCTTCTTCCTCTCCGGCTGGACAGGAGACACCAGGTCCGGCAAGAGAGAGAGGGGGGGGTGGAGGTGTACGAGCAGGAATGCTGTGTTTGGTGCTGCGTGCACCATGATGGCGGCGCTGCCAGGCATTGAAGTGCACACGTGTTATGTCTGACACCCTCGCACTTCGTCGCACACACAATCACACACACACATACATACACACATACACACACACGTGTGCGATTGCTCGTGTGCTTGCACGCTCATTTTCAGGGTCAGCACGGTGATGACGCTGGTGCACAGGCTGTTCTGCCACCGCATTGTGTTTGGGCTCTCGCTCTTCCGCACCAACAGCGACGCGGGCGGCGTGGAGATTGTTGCCGACCAGTTTCTGCCCGTGCTTGCGCCACGCACAGATACGCTGCCAGCTGTGAGCCCGCAGCAGCAACACAAGAACGAGGCTGGCCAGCAGCAACCGCAGCAGAATGGCGAAGAAGGCACTGACGGGCGCAGTGCAGCGCAACAACAACAACAACAACAACAACAACAGCAGCAACAACAACAACAACAACAACAACAACAACAACAACAACAACAACAACAACGGCGGCAGAATGGTGGTAAGGAATCAAAGGAGGCGCCGTCAAAGGATGGCGCGGGTGTGTCAACACGCTCATCGCGCAAGAAGACCACTGCAACTGGCGGTGTTGTTACACGTGGAAAGCGGACCCGAAGTGCGGGGAGGAAGCAGAAGGCGTGACGCATGCACGTGCGTCGTCGCTGTTGATTGTTCTTGTTGTTCGTGGTGTTGTTATTGTTGTTGTGGTCGTGATTAGTTACTTGATGCGAACCTGTGGTGTAGCGTGACTCTTCGCGGTGTGTCTTGCTTGTTCATCGAGAGAGAGGGGGGGGGGAGTATGTGTGTATGTGAGAGTGGGTGTGTGTGTGAGTGGGTGTGTGTGTGTGTGTGTGTGTGTGTGTGTGTGTGTTGGCATGCGGACTGGCACATAGTTTGAAGATTTGTTGGGGCGAACAACCACATGAAAAACGCCAAACATAAACACATCGGTGCCCTTCACGTGCAATGATGAAAACGTGGTGGTGGGATAGGGAGGGTGCGCATGATAGATGTCGTTGATGGTGGGATTCGCTCCGAGTATCCTGTTGAGCTGTGTGAGCTTCCGGAACGGTCGGATCGCATACTGGACAAGATTGAACACTGCGAGCGGGTGGCACACAGTGTGGTGGATGACTGGACTTCCCTCATCAAAACGTTTGAGATGTGCACCACCAAGAGCAACATGATGCAGCGCCGCATGTTGGCGTGCGAGTTTCTGCTGGAGCGCGTGCTGCCTGCGCTGAGAGGCATGGACAGGGTGAAGGTGCTGGCGGAGGCGGGCGGGAACCCGTTCAAGGGCAGTTGTGCACGCCCGTACTTTGTGAAGACGGAGGAGGCGGTGCACGGCATGATTTGTGCAGAGTTGGTGCGACTGATTGAGACAGTGGAAGAGGAGGAATGAGGACAGGACACCGGAGAGACGGACATTCTGTGTGTGCGTGTGTGTGCGTGTGCGTGCGTGCGTGTGTGTGTGTGTGACCTGTGGGAGCTAGGGGTGAGAGGGTTTTCTTTCTTCCAATGAGTGTCTGGGTGTCTGCTTCCTTGCTTCTTTGTATGTGTGTGTGTGTGTGTTTGTGCTACCTATACCTATGCATGCCTGTCAAGATTCGTGTAGCGAGATTCGGTGAAGGTGCTGAGGTTCTTGTTCATAAACGGCTGTCATGTCACCAAGACATACCTCACACCACCCCTCTCGACATCTTGTTGTCAATCTCAAACAAAGCCGCTCAGCCGTTGTGTCGCAGTATGTTTTGTTTGTGGCCATCACAGCTTACTCCTCGACAAGTCTTCCGCTCTTCCTTGGGTCGGAACGTTGACGGAAACCTTTCGCTGTTTTTCCTCTCCGCTGTCCTCCATTGCACAAACCTGTCACTGCCACTGGCTGCTTCCTTGCTTCTGCGGACGTGCATTTCCCTATTTCCTCGCTCCTGACTCGACCTTACTTCACCCATACGACCTTCGACAATGCTGCACCCGCTCTCGTTCCTCGGTTGTGAGTGCGACCTGGTGACGGTTGCCTTGGTCGTGGTGCTCGTCGTCGTCCTCCTCCTCGCCTACATGGGTGTCTTTCAGGTGAGACTCTTTGCGTATCAGTGAGTGCGTGTGTGTCATATCCTTCTCCTCAGCGCGCATTCACACACATTCACACACACACACACATTCACACACACACACACACACACATTCACACACTCACACACACACCCACACACACACACACACACATTCGCACACACACGCATTCGCACACACATTCGCACTCACACACACATGCACACACGCATTCGCACTAGGCTGTGCGATTTGTGCCTGCAAGCATTCCCAAGTGCCAGATTGCCGGCTTTACGCACATTGGCCCGTACCAGAACATTGGCTCCGTGTTTGAGAAGGTGGAGAAGATCCAGAAGGAGCTCAAGCTTGAACACTCGTTCTTCTGTGGTCTGTACCATGATGACCCAAGCGTGACGGCCAAGGACAAGCTGCGCGCGTTTGCTGGCATGGCCTTTGAGAAGCCCCTCGACGAGGAGACACTGACGTATGTTGCGTTGTCATGTGTATTGTGTGTCTGCATCTTGTGTCGTGTGTTGTGTTGTGGATTGTGTTGGTGTTGTGTGTTTGTGTGTTGTTGTGCGTGCCTTGTTTTCCTTCGCGCGAATCAACCTCGCTTTGATCATGTGCTTCACTCGCTTTCTTCGCCTTGACTGTGTGCCTGCTGCTTTCAGCTGTACCGGCCATCTCATCACCCACCCCACCCCACAAACATCCTTGGCAGTACCCTGAAGGAGAAGGGCATGCGTGTGCGCCATGAAACCGACGAGATTCCATGCTACACCACATACTTCCCGTTCCGCAACGTGCTCAGCTACATGTTGGGTCCAATGCTGGTGTACCCACGCATCAACAAGAAGTCTTGGTCGGTTTGGATGAACAGAGACAGAGTGTGTCTGTGTGTGCGTGTGTGCGCGTGTGTGTGTGCGTGTGCGTGTGCGTGTGTGTGCGTGTGCGTGTGCATGAGTGCATTGAACCCGCTTGCTTGCGTCTGTGTGGTGGTGGCGACACCATGTACGATTTGTGTCACGGCTGCCTTTGTCTCGTGCATCCGCTCATACACCGTGTGCACTTGTGCCGTTGGTGTGATTTTGGATCTCCTTCCCTCCCTCGTCTTGTTGTCTTTCAGCCCCGGCATGGACTGCTCCTGTGAAGAGGTAGGGCATCTGAATTGTTGACCTGCATGCACGTCCTGTTTAAGTGTCCTGCGCGCATGTCATCGGTGTGCGATTGGGCTCAAGAAAGCGGGGTTTCAAACGCAACACGCTCACACTTCCGACTCGCTCCCTTGCCGATCTTGCTTGTTTGCCACCGCTCACCGCTGTTCACACACACACACACACACACACACACACACACACACACACACACACACACACACACACACACACACACACACACACACACACACACACACACACACACAATAAATAGGAGGGCGGCATTATGGAGATTTACCACGATGACTTCATCCAGTTCATGATTCCTCGCGTTGGCGGCAAGCTCTTCCCTCTCAAGGACCTGTGATGGGCGCGATGCCGAGACAGCGGTTGCCACGGGCTTGATCACACCACACAATTGCCCGCGCCGATCAGATGTGGTTGTTTGGTGCTGATGTTGTTGTTGCTACTGCTGCTCTTGTCAGTCACAGCGTCACTTTCACCACAACCTGCTTCACGTTCCGTTCCGTGGTCCATGCCGAACGTTTACTGTTGTTGTTACACATCCCACAACCATTGCTACTGCCTCCCCCCCCCCCTTCTCCGTGCACCACCAACACGTCAACCGAATACAACAAGGCAGCCCAAACAGTATGCACGCAAGTTGGCAATTCCAGCACATCAACAGTCAGCAACAGTCAACAAGACACGGCTATGAACACTTTAAGCATGAAACACGTGAAACACACATTAGAAATCAGAATAAGAGGTACAAATGTAATTCACGCACACTTAGCGCCACACGTGAGTGCTGCAGGTCGTAGTCGCAGCACAAAGGGGGCTTCATGTTAGACCACCTCAAAACCACTACCATCAACACTACCACCACCACCATCACTCCTGTGCGCCTTCCGTGACCGCACGGCGGCTATGAGATGCAACAGCGACAGTACATGCCTTGCTCTGGTGCGGGCGGATTGTTGAGGCGGTCCTCAATGCGAGATAGAGCTGCCAACACTTCGCCCAGCTGCATCTTCCCGCCTTCGCCGCCATGAATGCCGTGTGCTGTTGTTGGTGATGATGCGGCCTGTTCAGCGGCCCTGTTGATGACATCGCGAAGTTTGTGCTCTGCGGAGAGTGCACGCGTGCGCCAGTCAATGCCATCGCTGCCAACACCCGCGCTCTTCTCGCCACGGCTGTTTTTGCCACCACTGCCATCTGCCGACGTAGTTGTTGTGGTCGTCGTCGTCAGCGAGCCTTCTCCGGGATGCACACCGCTGCTGGCGGGTGTGTGCGGCTGAGTGTAGCGACCAACCTGCTGCAACAGCATGTGCTGCTGCGCTGCCCAGAACATGGCGTCATCCGTGGTGAAGTCGACATAGAGAAGGTTTGCGCACAGCGCGCCCAGCCACCCGTCCGGCACATACACCTCCGGGCGGATGGGAACGATTGGCTTGCCCAGCTTGTACGCATACTCGCCTGGTACAAAGTCGGAAGTGTATGCGTGTTGCGTGTGAGTGTATGCGTTGCGTGTGAGTGTGTATGTATGTACAAGGATGATGTGGTTGCGTGGATCACACGGAAAAGCATAGACGACGATGTTGGCCCCACATCCACCAAGACGACAAAACAACAACAACAACAACAACAACAACAACAACAACAACAACAACAACAACAACAACAACAACAACAACAACAACAACAACAACAACAACAACAACAACAACAACAACAACAACAACAACAACATCATCATACCTTCTGTGCGGCAGGGCGTGCTGGTCTTGTACGCTTCGCAGAGACACATGACAATGACGTCGGCTTTCTCCACCCCGTCACTCATGGACTCCAAAATGCTCCCGGCCACATGATCCACATCCATCCACACTTTGTACCCGTGGCTCTCAAGCGCGTTTCGAACGCGCAGCATGAAGCTCTGGTGCTTCCATGGATATGACAGCATAATGTGACCAGGCCTCAACTGCTGCTCCTGCTGCAATTCGCCCGCCTCAGGCGCTGCCTCCGCCACCTGCGTGTGCGACACTTCTCTGACCACAGGCGCCGGTTTGTGAAGCGAAGACATGTCCGTGCTCGTGATCACGCCGCCCACATCGGTCTCCTTCACCGCTGCGTTGGTCATCTCATCATCCTCGCTGTTGTCATCATCGTCATCGTCGCTGTTGTCTGAAACATCGTCCGCATGTCCCATCTTGAATGCGCTTTCTTCCTGTTTCTTCGCTTGAGGCACCTCCTCCTCCTCCTCCTCCTCCTCCTCCTTCCCGTCCTTCTGCTCCTCCGTCATCTTGCCGCTTGTGTCCGTTGGCATCGACAGCGCATTCGTTGCTCCATTCTCAGCAGCGTTGTTGTCATTGTCGTTTGCATCCATCGCGTTGTTGCGCTTCAAGACCTCGCCTGCCTTCGACAGTCCCATTCCCATCGCCATGCTGCCACCACCAACCTGCACCCGCGTCACTGTCGGCACAGACATACCTGAACCACGCTCAGCGCCACCGAGGCCACCATCTTCAGTGTTTGGCGCGTCGAGTGTTGTCGCCCGCAGCATGTTGCGCCCGCGCGCCCCTGATTTCTGCTTCTGCTTCTGCTTCTGCTGCTGATTGTTGAATCGGTGGTGGGAGGCACCGCGGCGCACGCTCGCCGGCTGCCTGCTGGCTGGCGGTGCTGCTGCCTCCATGGTGTTGAGCCTCTCGATGCGGAAGATGGTCAGGCCAATGTCCTGCTTCACCTCTGGGGTCAGCACGTGTTGCGCCGGGGTACGGTGGGCGGGGTCCTCCTTTGCCTTGGAGGAGGCCTCGAGCATGCGCTTGAACACGCGGAGAATGCGGTCCTGCTGTCCGCACAGCGCGTTTGTCACAGCGAGGTTCGCAATCACCTTGATGGCAAATTTGTCCGTCAGCCTGTCCTTTGGGCGGGATGACTCGAGAATGTCCATGACCAGGTTGAGGCATGTGTTGGCAATCAAGGGCTTGTTGCTGTCGTTGACAGAGAGGTTGGCCAGGCCTTGCAGTGGCTCCCACGGCTCCGACGTGCGGCCTGCGCAAGGATGAAACAAAGGGAAGGGAGGAGGGGGCGGAGAGACAAAACGAGAGGAGGGGTTGGGGTGCACGTGGGGTCCGTGTTCAGTTGCGGCAGCGGCAAAGTCAGATATCCGTGGGATGGATGAGAAATAGAGGGCGTAAAGTCAGAGCACGTACGCAAAATACACACACACAAAGGGAGAGCAGGCAGGCAGGCACACACACACACACACACACACACACACACACACACACACACACACACACACACACACACACACACACACACACACACACACACACACACACACACACGCAGCGCAGGGTATCACACCTTCCAGGTCCTCGTTGGCCCAGGCCTTTTCAAGTTCTGTGTGCACAATGCCGATGATGTTGTCGCTTGCCTTGAGCAACGGGTGCTGTTCAACGTGTCCAATGAGGTTGGCAACGATGCTCGCAGCGTCTGCCGGGTGGTCCTTGGGGTTGCTCGAGTGCATGAGCGGGTGAAACAGGTTGTGGACCTTCAGCTCGCGAAGATAGGTCAAGCCCTCATCACCAAGGTACCTGCACGCACATGTGTCAGTGAGCGAGTGAGTGAGTGAGTGAGTGAGTGAGCGAGTGAGTGTGTGAGTGAGTGTGTGTGTGTGTGTGTGTGTGCAAGAAGTGAAGGGGTCGCCCAACAGACATAAACACACACACACACACACACTTTCTTAGACAGATACACAGGCAGACAGACAGACAGACAGACAGGCACACACACACACATACAGAGACACCTTCCCCTTCCCCCTTGTTGTTTCACACACGCCTGCGCGCACCTGCAGAGGTTGCCGAGGGCGCCGTATGCGCCATTCCAGACGCGGGAGTACTTTGGTGCGCGGGAAAAGACATCCACAAGCGTCTTTGCAAAGGGGCTGACGGCCTGCGAGCCGGTGGTGCTGTCCGTGCCATTGAACAAGGCGATACCGGCGTCACCCGCGCTGCTGGCGTCGCTGGCATCCTGCACCGCATCCATGACGGTGTTGAGGATGGAGGGAAACTGGTTCAGCACGCGACCGGCCGCGCCACCAGCAGCGTACGCCTGCATGAGGTGGCACGCCAGGCGCAGGCTTGGCTTGGCCTCAAAGCGCATTGCGGGCAGGACGGGGAACTGCGTGGTGGTGACAAAGTCCTCCAGGAGCTTGGGGTCGCTGATGGACGCAGCAAGCTTGACGGCTGCCAGCATGGTCAGTTCCGCAAGCGGACCCTCCCCCTGCGACCAGGTGCTGGTGAAGACGCGAGCAAACGCCCGCACGGCGCTGGGGTCCGTGGAGATGGGCACCAGGTTGGTGAAGTTTTGGCTGTGGTCCGTGCCCATGATGTAGATGAGGGTGCACACGGCGTGCACGACATCGCCGGTCTTGGTGCCGGGCGCCACCACGGATGCGGCGTCCACCAGATCTGCCGTCGCCTGCAGGGCCAGCTTGAGCTTGTCAATCACACCCAGGGCCACAACGGACTCCTGCAGCTCGTTCTCCGAGGCGGATGCGCCCAGGAACAGGAGCGGCACGGGCTTCAGCGTCGGCACGAGGTTGAGCAGCTTCGTCTGCAGGTCTCCGCGCTCCAGCAGCGCCGCAGTCACCTCTGGCGCGCCGGTCCAGTTGCTCACGTACTCCGTCAGGGCGGGCAGATCCTCCAAGTCTGCCAAGTCGTCGTGGGACTGGGCAGCGGAGACGGTACCCTGGTCGCCGCTGTCACTGCCCTTCTTGCTGCCCTGCGCTTGCTTCTGCCTGGCGTCGCAGCGCTCCAGCCACGTTTCCAGCTCCGCCATCACGGTGCTGGCAAACGCCGCGAGATCATCCTCGTCCGCCTCGTCGCTGGACGTGTCGCTCGCACTGACACTTGTGTCTTCGCCATCTTCTTCCTCGTCCTCATCGTCACTGACAGCGTTGCTGGCAGCCTCGGCGTTTTGATGGCTGACCTCCTCCGTCTCTTTCTTCTCGGCATCAGCTGAATCAGTGGTTGTTGTCGTTGTCGTTGCAGTAGTTGCAGCAGCCGTTGCTGTATCAGTGACCACTACACCAATATGTGGAGGCGTGTCGTCTGTCCTCGCTGAAGTGGGCGGACCCATCGCCATCTGCATGCGGTTCATGGCTGGCTGGCTGGCTGGGGTTGTCGTGTGGGTGTGTGGGTGTGTGTGGGTGGTGGTGTGTTGCTGTTTTGGAAGGAGCCGCTGTAGCACAGAAGCAGCGGAGGCAGGGTGAATTGGATCCACCCCGACACCACAATTTACATTGTGTCCGCCACGGCTGCCGCGCCAAATCCGAACTACACAACCAACTGCTGCGATTGTGATGATGGCGAACCACCGCAAACACACACTGCCAACACACACCAACACCCACACACACGCACACTCGCGCGCACACGCATAGCAAACTACATGCACACGCAGAGCACACGCAGCGACGCTACATGCACAACTCACCATGTGTCGGGGAACCATGAGCCACAATCACTTTGCACTGACACTCACTGAGTGAGTCGTGGACGTGCTTGCATACGCTGTACCCTGTGGCTGCGCAGAGATGATGAGCGTCTTCATGGACGCGCCAACACCAGCACGGGTCTCAACACCGACAACAGCACTGCTATCAGGAGTCTCTGCACCGACAACACCAACAACAACGGCCACAGCACCAATAACAGCGCCAACAACAACAACGGCCACAGCACCAGCACCAACAACAACGGCCACAGCACCAGCACCAACAGCACCGACAACCACCCCAACACGAACAACAGCGCCAGCATCAAAACAGCGCAGCATGACGACGAGAGTGGCGGCAAAGAGGACACGGCATGCACTGCGGTGGTGGCGCGCTGTGACGGCAGCCTCTGCTCTCATCGTGCTTGCTCTTGTCGTGATCAGCAACGGGGACAAGAATCACAACGGCGTGCGAGCCTTCCCCGTGGACGGCAGCAGCACATCCGCACCACCGCCCACAACAACAGCCCTCCAGTTCACAACCACCGCCCCCGAGGATGCGCAGGCCCTGGAGCTTCAACCACTGCCACTGGTCGTGAACGACATTGTGGAGGACTCCCCGACGCTCGCATTCTCCACCTGCCGTGGCAGCACCCTCGCCGTGCGCCTGGAGGCAACATATGACACCATCTCCTCGGCAAGGGTGGAGCTGCGGGTGGACGGCACCAACACGCGCGTGTGGGATGCCACGCGAAGCATCGATGAGGAGTTCTTCTCCGTTGACTTTGAGTTTGTCACGCCGCAGTCCGCATCCGGGGAAGGGGTTTTCCCGTTGCAGTGGCGGTGCGGCCTCACCGTCGTCACGCAGAACAGAACCGTCCCGCTCTCCATCTCCATCACCGCCGACAGCGCGAGCGAGGACTGCACGTGCCCCAAGCTGCACCCGGATGCCCTCAACAATGCGACCACCGCACACGACGTGCAGCGCATCGACGGAACGCAGCAGCAAGCGCTGGTGGCGTGCGGTGACCACGGCCGCTGGTTTCGCCTGCCGCAATGCCAGACCGCAGGCGACCTCGTCACCATTCGCGCCGCTGAGTCCGAACCGAACACCGATGCCATCATCGACGTGTTTGCACTCATAGGCACGGAGCAGGTTGGCCGCGGCGAAGGCACCCTCTCTGTCAACATGTCCCGGCCGACGCAGCAAGGCCTGCTGGTGTTTGTGCGGAACCGCCTCAAGTTCAACGACATGCTGTTTGACCTGACCGTCGACGCCACGTGCGCCCCTGTCGCCTCGGACAAACAGCCAACGCCAACCACCCTCACCAACTCTGCTGATGACAGTGACGACGACGCTGCGAGCAGCGACACCGTGACGCAGGCGAAGATTGCCGTGGTTGCCGGGGTGGGCTCGCTGGCGGGGCTGAGCATCATCTGCGCCTTTTTCATGTGCTGCTGCAACTCGCCGCCACGCTGCTGCTATCGCCTGTGCGGGTGGCGCGGCCTGCGTCGTCGCCGCACCTCCGGTATGCTCCACGACTCCGACTCCGACAGCGACCGCGGTGGGCTGTGCTGCATGTGCTGCGGCAGCCTGCGCAACATCGACCATGGCAGCGACAACGACGATGACGATGACGATGACATTGATTTGTACGGGGAGAGGGGCGCGCAGCGGCGGCGCGGCGGAAGGCGGAGGAGGAGGCAGAGTCGCAGAGAGCGGGATGTCCAGCGGCGCAACAGACGCAGACGCACGCGTGGTGGCAATGGTGACGACGATCATGACGACGATCATGATGAGAGCGATGTCACGGACGGCAGCAGCAGCGATCTTGACGAGGACGAACGCGAGCATGCACGCCGCGAGAGGAGAAGGAGGCGGAGAAGACAAAGCAGACACCGGCGCAACCACAATGATGATGATGATGACGATGATGATGATGATGATGGTGATGATGGTGATGGTGATGATGGTGATGGTGATGGCGACGGCAGCAGAAGCAACGCTGAGGGTGACGAAGTTGATGTTGATGGTATCGACGATGATGGTGATATTGAGGATGACGATGCACGTGGACGGAAACACGGCAGAGACAAGGTGCAGAAGAGGCATGGAAAAGGTGGGAAAACAAAGATACAGAGCAAGCAGCGTGCCGGTAAGACGAAACCTACAATGAAAGCGGTCAAGGACCAAGACGTGGTGGGGTCGACAGCGTCCACATCGCCCTCCGAAGATGACGACGATGATGCTGCCGATCTTGCAGATGGTGGCAGCGGCATTCGTGGCGGTAAGACTGGCAAGCACACGAAGGCAGCTGGCAAGACTGACCACCGTTCATCACGAGAGCACCGTGGGCGCACACACAGAGGAGACAGGAAGGCACACACACGCACGCCTCACAGCGTCGGCAGTGATGGTGGGAGTGGAAGCGCAGTGGGCGACACACGGCGTGGACGTGGCGGCAGCGGCTGCAGCAGCACGGCCGTCAGTGTTGGCGGTTCCACGGCAAGAGATGAGCGCGGAGGAGGAAGAGGAGGACGAGGAAAGCATCGGCGTCGGAGGAGCCGATCTGTGGATGGCGCCGGCGGCACCAGCGGCAGCACCCATGCACGCCGTCGCTGCGAGGACAACCGCGACACGAGCAGAGACAGAACCAACGACAACAATAACAACAACAACAACAACAACAACAACAACAACAACAACAACAACAACAACAACAACAACAACAACAACAACAACAACAACAACAACAATAACAACAACAACAACAATAGCAACAACAACAGCAGCAGCAGTGGTGGTGGAAGCGCAGAGGAGGATGAGCAGGAGGAGCTTCGAGGACGTGGCAGCCTCATTGAAAGCGTGAGTGTCGTGTTTGGGCGCGGCGTTGAACGAAGTCTTCACCGAGATCGATCTGACATTGGCTGCACCGTGAGCGTGCACTCTGTTGGCGAGCGCCCCCGCACGTTTGTTGCGCGCACCGCATCGATTGCGTCGACGATGACAAAGGCCACGGCCAAGCTGCTCACTGGCAGGCGCCACAGCAGCCACCGCCAGACACGACGTCGCAACACCCACACACCCCAGGAGGAGGAGGACAGCAAGGTGAACACAGATGGTGGTGGTGGTCGTCGTCGTGGGGAAAGGCGTGTGCTTGAGTTGAGGAGGCGCGTGAGTGTT